GTGTGGATACCTTACCTTGATATCCTATCCCTTTTCTTCCATTTTTGCTAACTCCATAGATCATTGAAGCCATCTTGCTTCTATCTATGTTTTTAGCTAGAAACTTCTGAAAGCTGTGATCATACTCTTTGATGATCTCATCAGCATTACTGGGAGTCTCTAAGATTGTTTCCTTCTGAGAATTTTGCAAATCATTTTCTAATTTCGAAATTTTTTCTTTTAACTCAGAATTCTCTAATCTGAGATTCTCAGACTTTTCAGAGTCAGAGGCAAGATCCCTTTTCAGGTTCTTGAATTTGACTCTGATTTACTGATACCTTTCCAGAATTTCATTTAGACTTTCTACAAGTTCAGCCTTAGTAAAATTAATGGTAAAGTCAGGAAATACCTCTTCAGTGTCTGATTCTGAGTCTGAACCAGAAGCTTCACTTTCTTTTGACACGTTTTCCATGAGAGCTATGTTTGCTCTTTCATCATCTGACTGAGTCAGCTTCAGAGATGTCCGAATCATCCCAAGTTTCCATGAGGCTTTTCTTCTTTTCCTTGAAGAACTTCTTTTTGGGCTTCTCCTTCTGAAGCCTTGGGCAATCACTTTTGTAGTGCCCTTGCTCTTTACACTCATAGAAGATGATGTCCTTGTTATTTTTCTTTCTATATCCTGAAGAACCTTCAGATCTTGTGTCTAGAGGAAGACTCAGATTTTCTGTATCTGGAGGAGGATTCATTCTGATTCTCTGATCTTCTAGGATTTCTGAATTTCCTCTGTCTCTGCTTCCACAGTTGGTTCACCCTTCTGGAGATGAGAGAAAGTTCATCTTCTTCTGATGAGGATCCATCATAAGTTTCTTCCACAACCTGTAAAACCTTAGAGTCAGATTTTCTGTTAGATTTTAAAGCTAGTGGCTTACCTTGCTTTTGAGGATCATCTTCTTCTATCTCTATCTCGTGACTTCTGAGGGAGCTGACATGTTCCTCCAAAGATATTTTGTTGAGATCTTTGGATAGCTTAAGTGTTGTGACCATTGGCCTCCATTGCTTGGGTAAGCTTCTAATGATCTTCTTAACGTGATCAACAATAGAATACCCTTTGTCAAGAACCTTCAGTCCAGCAACAAGGATTTGGAATCTTAAAAACATAGCTTCTATGGATTCACTATCTTCCATCTTGAATGCCTCATACTTCTGAATGAGCGCAAGGGCCTTGGTTTCTTTGACTTGAATGTTTCCTTCATGCGTCATTCTCAGAGAGTCAAACATGTTCTTGGCAGTCTCTCTGTTTGATATTTTCTCATATTCTGAGTATGAGATAGCACTGAGAAGTATTGTTCTGGCCTTATGGTGATTTCTGAAGTCACGTTTCTGTTGGTCAGACATCATTTTCCTGTCTATCTTCTGACCTCTTCCATCCACTGGATCTGTGTATCCATCAGTTACCATGTCCCACAAATCAGCATCATGGGCCAGAAAGAAACTCTCAATTCTATCTTTCCAGTAGTCAAAGTTTTCTCCATCAAAGACTGGAGGTTTGCCACTAAATCTGTCCTTGTCTTCATGGTAGTCATTGTTGATGTTTTGGCTTGGTCCCACCATAGTGCTTTTCTGCAGCTTGGATCTTGTACTAACACGGTTAAGTGTTTAAGCTCATAACCAGGTGCTCTGATGCCAATTGAAGAAGTGAAAAACACAAGAAGGGGGGGTTAAATTGAAAAACTTGAAATCGAATGCGCAATGACACAGTATTTTTATCCTGGTTCGTTTAATCTCAAACTACTCCAGTCCACCCGTCAAGGTGATTTCGCCTCTCTCCAACGAGGTCTTAATCCACTAATCTCAAAAGGATTACAATCACTGCTTTAACAACTGTTAAAGTCTTCTTGAGTACAACCACAATCCGGTTAATCTCAAGGAACACTATTTTAATCAATTAAACAAGAGTACTGTGTGTTTTTGTTTTTCGTTACAAAAACTGTTATCACAACTGTGATAATTTACACAAAATAAGAGCGTGAAAGTATGATGAGTATGCTTGCAGCTTTTTGAATTTGCGTGAGTAGTATATGCAAAATTGTTACCAATTTAATCACTGAGTTTGTTTATATAGGAAATGGATTCCCGTTGACCATTAAGCATGGTAAATGTCATTAACTCAATTTCCATTTAGAGAAGATCTTGTCTGAAAGAAGCCGTTGTAATTGATGCAGTCTTGAATGAATAATAACGCTTCAAAATCTTTCATCCTTGCTTGCTGCTGATGCTTCAGCACATTGATGACTTGGATTATTATGTACTTGTTCAGAGTCAGAGTTTACTTCACTTAAGCGCAGGTTCTGGTCATCAATCTTCAGCGTAAACTCTGATTGCTTCAGCGTGTAGCTTCTATAGCTTATCTTCTGATGTTGCTTTGGTCAGAACTTCTGCTTATAAAATAACATAATTTTTAAGGTGCATATTTGTTCTTTGTATTTGTTATCATCAAAACTCTAGCTAAGGGTTGTAGAATCAAACTATGTTCTAACAAAGGCTATCAATTTCTTGCCAGCCAATCAGATTTTGAAGTCTCCTTTGACTCAGTGAATGTCAAGGCTGGCAAAGTATCTTCTGAAGCAACAAGTCCATACATAGACTAGTCTCATCAACATGTAAATTTCAAATTACATTTGCATTCTCATTTGTAATCTTTCTTGTTTGGTTCAGTACATTATTGTATGCAAAACTTACTTATTTTCGAATATTAGTCATAATGCATTGAATATGTTTGTCTTGAATTAATCCATTCGTATTCACTCATTAATTTTTTTCTTTTATTTTTGATACTTAACACTTGTTAAATAAAGAAAAATAACTTTGGAAGGATGATGGTGAGAAATATACCTATAATCTTAAATGGTGTGCTTTTGAGAAGAACCCTACCGATGATGTACAAGCCTTGTTTTAATTCCTAAACAACAGAGGTATAAGGGAGATGAACCCTTGTTTTAACCCCTTTAAGCCTTGAAGTAGGAGTTTCTTTTCTTGTCAGAAAAAACCCTCACATTTAACCCGGGGCAGGGTAGTGTTCAGTTAATCTGATTGAGCATTCAAAACTCGTCAGGAGTGCACATCTAAGGATATAACAACAGTTATCCATCAAAAGGCTGAGGAAAGTCAAAATCACAATGGATAACCTTCACTTATCAGGAGTGTGTGTCAATTGACGATATCCCAATGGGTATCTCTCACACGTCAGAAGGTCAACAGATAAAGATACAATAATGTTTATCCCTCATCTACCAAGGCATGAGGTAGCCATAGTCCTTCCAACAAAGTCGAAAATGACTCGAAGTCACACGATTTGAAATTAAAGATTAGTCTACCTAATAAAAAAGAATTACTTACCTCTCTATACCATAAGTGACGAACAACGTGTTGCTCATACCGTAATAGAAAAAGCATGTCGTACGACCCTCTTGAAAAATGATGTTATTGTTCCACAAGTCCACCTTCATAGTGTGTGTTTGGCATCAAAATATACTATCGCCACCTCTTCTTTGACCTTCTTTCTACCGAGGTTTTCAGACGCTATAATCGTAAGCTTCTATGGACCGTGCAATATCACCGCAAATTTCTCAAAAAGCCAAACATAGACATACTCTTGTTGTGCATTTATCGCATGTTGAACTTATAAAGTTCCTGGTCATAGGCCTCCACACAGAATAACCTTATTGTCGCATCCTCAACTACACCCCACTAATAAAAAAAATTAGACAAATTTGCAACAAAAACAATATCAAATGACTCTAAATCAAGACCTATGGTGGCTAAAAAATTAATATTTTTGAAAGTTTTATACTAAAGAAATCTGGTCAAACAAATTTGACTACCGAATGTCTTTAGCATAAGATTTTTGGTTTTTAATTTACAATGGATCAAATAACTTAAATCTAAATTCTCAGATGAACATCATTGAAAAACAATTGGAATCACAACTTATTAGAAAGACTTTCGATACTAATATGTAAACCAAACAACTTCAATGCAAGACCTTCGAAAAATTGGATGAACAAGACAACTTCAATACAAGACTCTTGTACTCAATTTTTTTTCTCCGACTTACAACACAAGACTAGACACCTTCAAAACAAAATGAGAAAAAATTAAAATAAAAAAAATCCAACTTGTACTACTTATACAAGAGTATAATAGTCGACTTGTGTATATCCTAGGAGAGAAAATAATTGTTGGAATGTAGAGTTAAACTTCCCTACTTTGATGACCTTGATGAGATATTTTATGTGGGCCGAACCTTGTTGAGAGTTTATGAGGATCCAATATCCTTTATCATTATGTCATGTAAACTATATATGTAAGTATATTTAGTTACAAAAACAAAACATTGGTCGAGAATTATATCAAAACATTCTTATATCTAATCAATAAAGGTTTCCAAAACATATGAATCTTCCAAGTATAATTGATTCCGGAAGAATTTGAAGTGTATGATTTTTCAAAAATATAATTGATTTTGTTTTTAGAATTGATTTTACTTAAAACTAAAATTTGTAATTTTCACTGAAATTTATTGTCATACTCACTTTTACTTAAATGTATCTAAACATAAATCAACTCTGTTAAACTCAATTAAGTAAAATCAATTTTATCCAACTCAATTTTGTTAGAATCAATTCTAGCCACGACCAATCCAAACAAAAATCCTTTATTGTTGGTAGCAGTGTGCAGTTAAAACTTTTTGTAAGTAAAATATCTGGATTTGAATAAACCAAAGAGTTTATTATGTGTTACAATAGTGACCATAATTTGATGATTTCTTTGTTTCTATTATATCTAACATGACTTCACTTTACATCAAAGTGAATGCAACGAATTTACACACGTATATATAACACTTTATGAATCGAATGCTAGCTAGCTGCTTATCTACCTCTACAAGACTAAAAAAATGCAGCAAACTACATATAAATAACGTTTCTTCACTACTTAAGTTACCATTGGAGAAAAATAATCTAAAAATTTTCTTTATGAAACTCAAATTTAGTGTTGGTTTTCCTTGAAAAATCAAGAGAAAGACTCTTAAGTTGTCCAACCAATCCAGCAGCCCCACAGTAAAAAACACCTGAAATAATTATAAAATAATCATTAATATCATCGTTATTAATAATGCAGTATGCATATCCTCAACTTGCAGAAGCTGATATTGTTAGTTTGAAAGTCATCACCAAGGTTGGAACCGTGATATTTATCGTAGTGAGTTTTTAATGATTGTTACCACTTTGTCTATTGACAAAAAAACACAATAATGCAAGATTGATACTTACCAACTCTTTTGCCAGGATGTTTGAGAGCTGTATGTTTAAACACAGTACGCCAATTTGGTCTAGCAAAATGTGTCTTAACTCTTGTTCCTGAAACAATATCAACACCACTTTTGGCATGGTGAAGAGACTGAAGCATTGTGATTAAAGCTGATCTAGCATCTCCTTCTTCATACACACTTGTACAATAATTATGAAGTTCAATTAGTCCATCTTTATCATAATCTGCAATTTCATCCATCACACCTTTAAACCATTCAAAGGAGCCTTGTTCACGAGTGACCCAATAGAAATAGGCTCTGTTTGTGGCAAATGGTTTTCTTTTGTTGTTTTTAACATCACTTTCTACTCCTCCTTGTTCTATGTCTTTTTGTTGTTTCATGTTGTTTAGTACATCTTTTAATATGCTTATCAATGGGGTTGCACCAATTCCTAAACCTACTAGAAGGATTACTTCGTAGTCTTTGTAGTCTTGTGCTGGTGCTCCATATGGACCATCAATCAATAGCTTTGGCATCCTGCAATTTCATTTCATTTTTATTAGAATCAATATGAAGCAAGTACACCAGACACGACACCGACACTAACACTAACACGCTGACAAATGACTTTTTAACTAGCACTTTTTTTTAATTAACAAGAATAAGACAATGTCAAAGGTAACTAACCTTGGTATGTTGTTGCCTTGTAACATATCAGCTCTTAGAAGACCACTTTGGTCACCACTTGCTGGCTGACATGCCTGCATCAAATCATATGGATAAAGTAATCAGCATTTACATAATCAATGAACATATTTGAGAAAATGCACAACATTAGTACAACATTAGCATTGAATTTCTCCTAATTAAGAAGAAAAAAACGTTTGCTCTTGAAAAATGTGTATATACCTTGGCAAAAACAGCCTTCAATTGTGATGTCCAGTCACCCAAAGTCCTAATGTGAACACTAACATAATCATCTCCAGGGGCTGACGTAATAGAGAAAGGATGCCATTGAAATGGAGATACATCTGGGCAATTAACAAAAATATATTGTCCACTATGGTATTTAAACCCTTGTGGTTTTGACACATGCAACGCCAACACGTTTCCAGGGTACACTGCAACCTTTAAAATCTTGACACTTTTGTTGCCAGACCTAAGAGCACGAAGTAGTCGCTCGCATGCGTATATAATCATAGGAACGGCAAGATACATCCAAGTCTGTGACAGCGGAAATTTGCGGGGCCAAAATTAGACAACAATAGTAAGTAATTCAAATTAAAGAGACCAAAAGTGTTATTAATTATATATAAGAGGATTGTGCAATGCATACCGTTTTCTTGTACCATTCCTTGGAAAGATATAACTTGTATCCATGTAGAATAAGAAGAGCATAGACAATGACAAAGAGGTGGTGAGAATACCAAAATGCATTAAAACCAGAGAGCTTTTTCAAAGCTTTAGGGAGTTTAAGTTGGTTTCTTCTGAACCAAGGTTGGGCCAAAGTAAAAGCTATAGCCATAAGCACTATTATGACTATACCAGTCCAACCCTCAGTGCCTTTTACAAACCACCAATAATTGTTGGGCCTAACATCCCCAAAAAATGGCTTCATGGGTATATATTCTGCATCTGTTGCATGTAATAGCCTAGGGAAATCACATGTTAAATGCGAAATAGCATGTAACCCTACACCAATAGCAATGCCGAAAGCTATGACCTTGTGAAAGTTGATGTTATCATCAAAGGGAACAGCAACTCCTAGTTTGGTTTTGGTCCTAAGCCAAGTGATGGTGTTTCTACAAACAGGTAACAAAATCAAAGCCATGTTGAATTTGAGAGTTTCAGCAGCACCTTTCGCTGTTGTGACACAATAGCCCATGACATGAAACACAGCACGGTTTTTGTATTGGATGAATTTCCAAGTGAAAAGTCCAGCACAGATTGCAATCCAAAGTGCTACAATCCAAATTCTTTTCCAATTGTCTTCAATGAAGTAGTTCAACGATCGAAAACCACGTTTTATAGGGTTGTGCTCTTTGGTAGGAACTAGCTTTTGGCTCAACATTTGACTCAAAACTCTACTATCTGTGTGCATGTGAGTTGATTGTGCTGGAGCTTGCAAAAGAAGCATTTCCAAGTTGTGTACCTGCATATGAATTATGCCACACAGAAAAATATAAGAATAATGTAAAGAAAAAAAAACAAAAATGTCATACATACAAAACATTGATTCCTAATAATTAAAATTGATACAAACCTCAATAAATCCAAGGTTATCTGGATCTAACTCCTCCATGATTAGAGCAGCATATTCTTCTGCGCGATCTTGTAACTTTGACAGCTTGTTAGCAGAAGCACTTAAGGTAATAATCTGTAAAAACACATCATAAAACAATGTTCATATATAACTACACAAGTTTCTTGCCAAATGAGTATTAAACTAAATCACTATTAAATTGTAAACATAACTTTAATGAATTATCAGTTACAACTTCTATTATAGATCATTTGATACAAAAAAAAATTATTCCCACAGATTATAAGAATTGCCCTTTTTAATTTAAAAATAATAATATTTTCTTAATACATCACATCAGAATATTGCTTTCTGTCATTTTTCATAAGCACATTGGACAATTTTCATAAACATTAAGAAAACTTAGTATTGTAATTAATGTGTATATTTTTTTCTACCTTTGTAAATCAATTTTTATTTATAAATAGATTAACTCAATATTTATTTTTTTATTTTAAACTTTAAAAATAAAATAATGTTTTTAAAAAAATAAATAAATGCATGTAATATAAATTAGTAGTTGAACCCGTGCAATACACAAAAGTTAATTATCTTAACAACTAATAAATATAAAATCATAATTGTAAGTGATTTATTTGATCATTTTAGTACTGTTAGGAAAAATATATAAATGAAAGAAAAAATATTTTTTTACTAAAATATCATTTATCAAGTATTAATTGAGATGTACAATTCAAAATTATTATAAATGTAAAGTAAAAAATATATTTAAAATTGAAAGCAATGAAAATAGTATTAATAGACTATACAATTAAAAAATAATAATAATAATATTGTATTATATGATATTTATAAATGCGACACTAAACGATGATGCGTGATAGATATATACGCTCATGTTCTTGAAAGCTTTTAGAGCATTCATTTTAAGTTTAAAATCCATATAAAAAGTTTATCACATGGAAAAGAGTGTTGCGTTATATTTCTTCGTATACATTTCTTTTTACAAAATATTAATTATTAAATAAATAAACAAACATATTGGAAAAGAATAAAAAATATCGAAATAATTTGTGGAATACATAAAAGCTTGTGAAAAATATACTAATTTTATGCATTATTTTTGTTTATTTTGACTGCAATTATATTTAAAAATTTAAAATGTATCAACAAAATAAAATATCAAAGAGACAATGAATAATTAGAAGGATACTTTCTATCCTTTTTAGACTTTATCTTGCACTCTACCCATTTCATAATGCAACGCACATAAATTGAAATAAATAAATAAATAAATAACATAATAAAAGAGTGAAACTCCTCCATGACATGTTCTCCCTTGAAGAAAAAGTATGAATATGTAACACTAATGAAGAAAAAAAATACAAAAGATGAAGAATGAAAGTAAATATTAAAAAAAAGTCAAAGTAATTTTTTTTAAACAAAAGAAAGAATAAAAAATAATGATGATTTAAAATTTTAAAAAAATAATAGCCGGTTAGCGGTTACACAAAATATTTAAAATTTAAAATAGTGATAACTTAAGAAAATAAATAAAAAGAATTAAAAGTTAAAAAATAAATGACTATTTAGTAATTACTTAAAAGGTGAAATAGGATTTTTTTTAAAAAAGAAATAATGATCGTTAAAAACTGAAAAATAAATTTAAAGTAGTAATAGTATTTATTAAAATTAAAAAATATTTAATTAATAGTTAGTTATTAAAAATTAATAATTAAAAAATAAAAAACGTTTAATTAATAATTAGTCATTAAAACTTAGTGGATGATGGTAGTTAGTAAAATAATATAATATTAAATATAATAAATTATGAAGTTACGAAATTAAAAAAAAAAGAAAAGAAATAATGATGATTAAAAACTGAAAAATAAATTTAAAGTAGTAATAATAATTATTATAATTAAAAATTAAAAAATATTTAATTAATAGTTAATTATTAAAAATTAATAATTAAAAAATAAAAATATTTAATTAATAATTAATCATTAAAAGTTACTGGATGATGGTAGTTAGTAGAATAATATAACATTAAATAAATAAATATAATAAATTATATAATAAATTATAAAATTACGAAGATATTTTTAATTTAGAGACAAAATTATTACGTGAGTTAAAAATTTTAATATATAAGATTCTTACCTCTCTAACTTCGTCTTCAGAGATTCGTCCATCAGCATTTTTGTCCACCCTGATATGATTAAAAATAATTAATTAAGATAAGATTAGGTGTAGACCCAATCAAAATTCAATACATTTGGCTTTTCGTATTTTTTGACTAAGATATACGCGTATATATTATTATTTTCTTGTTTCTTATATACTAGCTGCTAATTTTGATTCAATTATCTAACCACTCCTTGACTCGTTCGATTCCTTAAAAGGGCAACCTAATCCTTCACTATTTCCATTCAACTAGTATATACTAAATTTTTCCAAGGTTGAAGAATATCTATATATTAATATTAAAAGTAAGTATTTAGTTTGTTAAAAAGTCTACAGTATTTGATTTCAATTCCACACCCAACAAAACAAAATATCACCACTTTCTTCTAGTATGTACCCGTCACCATCATCATAATGCAATTGGTGTCTATTATAACAAATATTTTCCACACTCAACAAATTAAAAACAACACAATAATAGTACGATCACTCCATTTTCACATGATAACACCACCGAGTGCGCCATTACTTTTCCTATCTCTGACAGAGACAACTAATTCTACATTAAACAGCAATTAACACTAATTAAATTAAGTTTACTCACATATCAAAGAAAGTTTGTAATCTTGAATCAAAACTCTGATCTGTCATCTGCTCCCAAAATTCCCGCAGTTCATCTTTTGTTATTGAAGCTGATGTTATCCCCCGCCGACGAGACAATGCATCAAACAGTTCACCAGCAAAATCCTTTGACTCATTCATACCTATAGTGGATTACAAAATTACAACATGATTAATTAATTAATTAATTAATTAATTACAAGAGTAACCTTTTTATTTAAGTTAAATTAATTCAGATGATAGTTGTGCAGGATATCAGAGTTCACAGTTGATAGTTGTGCGTCAGATATATAAAAAAATTAAAAAATTGCAGTGGAAAACGTACCAATGCACTGGCTAAAGCGCGTTTTAGGAAGTTTTCCATCAACTTCCAATTCATCAAACCGCTTTTCCACCTGAGACCAACCTCTATCACTTCCAACGGTTTTGGTCATAAACTTAAGTCCTTTCAGCGCACGCGCCGCACCAGATTTGGCTCTATCAACCCTATCGAACTTCTTCGACGACGTCATTCTTTTCAGCTCCTGAGAAACCTGTTTGAGTTTAACGGAAAGCGTGGACGGCCGTTTCTCCAAACGGCTAGCGAGCAACGCCGTCTCGGAGTCACCGCCGCGAATGTTCTGTACCGAAACGGTGTCGTCGCGGACGTCGAGTGTGATCTCGACGAAATCCTCCACGTCATCGCTGAACCTCGCGCTCTTCTTGCTGCTTCTCTTCTTGTTGTTGGAGACTAACGGACCGCTTAATGGTCCGCTGAGGGAGCCGCTGAAGCCGACTCTCGCGCTTCGGGTGCTTCTGCTTCCGATACTTTCTGTTTCTGACCATGTTTCGTGATGATGATTCTCTGGAATCTCCATCGGAATGAATAATTATGTAGTAGAATCGAGTTTTGGATTATGAAATAGAAGATGAAAATGAGAAGGGAAAGAAAAAAAGTGTGAATAAATATATTGAGAAGATTGAGTATGGTTGGTTGAAAAAAAAGAGATGAGAGAGAGTCAAAGATGGAGGCAAAAATATTATAATGCGTGTGGGCGCGTTGTTGACGAACGCGCCATGATAGTTGTAGGATTCAAATTCAAAGGGGGTGTATAGTGTTGTGTTGTTACTAGATGAATGATGGTTAGTGGTTTGAATAAACCACTCAAAAAGGAAGGAACTACGCTATTTCTATTAGAACAACCTATCTTTTAATTTTTTATTAGGTCTTTCAGATATAGTTTAATAGTCTCTTAATGTTAAAGTGTATTTTGGTTTCTTAGATCATAAATAAATAAATAAAATTGGAGAGCTCATGATCTTGAAATGATGATGTTGTGTTTAGCTACAGTGGTGCGGAGTAGATTTGGAAGGTCAACATTTTCATATTTAAGTTAAATTAATATTTAATATTAATATAATGAAAAATGGAGATCATAGAATAGAATGTAGAATATATCTTATGTTTTTCATGAACTGAATTTGTATTTTTAGATAAGTAAAGTGAATTTGAGATGCATTGAATCTTAATCATTTAAGTATTTGGTGAATTCAAAAGATTTTTTTAATTTAAAAAATATTTATATTGAACTTTAACTCTAAAAAAGTACTATATTAATATTTTTGTTTAATTAACATAAATTTGTTGATTAACTTTTAAATTTTTAACATGATATTCTTTAAAGAATTAAAGAATCAATATAATCTTTTTTAAACCAAAACTTGAAAATAAAATCAGATTAATATAAATATATAATAAGAATATTTAACTTTTTAGATATTGACAATTTTTTTTTGGGGAGGAAGCGGTGGCTAAATTATGGTATTATATCGGTATGACATTATGGTTTGAAGAAAATTATGTAAATTTCTTAACTCATCTTATGACTTTCTTGTGCACCACGTGAAGTTCTATAAGTGTCACTTAAAGTCAGAAGTATATTTTGGGTTCGCATCATGCTATGTATGAATTACGTTAAAAGGGTTGGGTGTAAATCGGAAGTATACTTCCAGTTTTGAATCGTAAGTATACTTCCAGTTCTTGGACGCACTAAATGACGCCATGACTATTCTCCTCCCATTACAGTAACCATTTTCAAAACAAAACATAAAATTCTATCAAACTCTCTCAAACTCTTATTACATCTTTCACATATATGATCAAAAAATCATCAAAAATCATCAAAAATCATCAAGCATTGGTTAAATATAGCATTCTAACGCAATCAATCAAGCAAAATCAACACTGATCAATCAAGTAAGTTGTTTTTCAAATTTTTAGAGCTTATGTTATTTCTACTCATATTAGTGAATTAGAGTTTAAATTGTGATATTGTAGCTTGTTATCAATATTAGGAATCATAAGAAATGTGTTTCTAAAGTTAATTTCGTGATCAATGCCCTTTTTATGAGCTCATTGAGGAGACTGAGACACCATTTTCGTTTCTTCTGTTATCGCAGCAGGAACCAGAATTAAATTTTTGGTTTTGTCTAGTGCAAAACCGGAAGTATACTTCTGGTTTATGTATGTGTCTGTTTTAAAGCTTGTTTTGTAAACTGGACCTTATGTAACACTTTTTTTTACTCCTACAGAAGATATGAATGAGAGACCGTCACGATTGAGACACGGTAGGGTTGCACAATATGCTTCTGTGGAGAGAGAAAGAAGTCGGGCTACCCATCCTCCTATTGCCTCTGCACCACCAGTACCGGATGCACCACCTACAACTTCATCCTCCAGTGTGCCTACTTCTACTTCTTCGATGTCGACCTCCCGCAGCAGGAGAGATTCTCCTGTTCATCCTTTGCCACCCTCGTCCTCCTGCAGACGCACTTCCTCACCTAGTGTATTTGAGGCGGGATCCACATCAGGTACCCAGGCGACACCTGAGGCCCAGACATCATCACAGCCTCAGTCTCCGACGCCATCTGAGGCAGTTCCTCAGTCATCCCAAGCACCTGAGGCGACACCCGAGGATGCACCTGAGGCTACACCAGCGGCACCTGAGGCGGCACTAGCTCAGCATGCACCTGCGGGCCCTTAGCCTTTTGGAGGAGGACCATCTGATTTATCACTTTTGCCTCTTTATCCCAACCATGTTGCTAGATATATTTGGGACGAACATGTATGAATTTTGCATTCTTATTTCTATTATGAATTTTAATGTGAATTTTATTATGAATTTTATTATGAATTTTGACTTGAATTTTATTATGCAGGAACGTGTTACGCTCAAGGTCATTAGCCATAGGCGGAAGATCAGTAAACTTGTGTCGTCGGCTGAGCCATGGTTTGATGAGCTTTTATGGCTTACAGGGATGAAAGATTTGGCTTTCTGTGGATACAGCATGCTCAACTGGGGTATGATCAACGCTTTTATTAAGAGGTGACACCATGAGACGTCGTTGTTTCATCTATCACATGGTGAGATGACTATCACACTCGACAATGTCGCGTGTCTGCTTCATCTTCCGATTAGAAGGACTTTCTTGGATCATGATAGGATCGACAAAGAGGAGGTGTTGGATTTGTTGGTTCAGTAGCTGGGAGTTACCCCTGAGAGTGGCTTGGGAGAGATTGATAAGACCCGTGGTTGCCACGTTAGGTATAGCTATTTGGCTAGGGTGTTCGCAGATGAGATTAGGCGTGCACGAGAGGCTCATGGTGATCCCGAGCAAGTTACCATTTACAAGGGGTTTTCCATGAGAGCATACCTTTTGTATCTTATTGACACACAGATTTTTATGGACACCAGTGCCACTTACACCGATATCATGTACCAGCGGTACTTTGAGGATTTTGAGATGATCAATCAGTGGAACTAAGGGGCTGCTTGCTTGGTTTACTTGTATACCAAGTTGGAGGAAGCCATTAAGTGGAATATGAAGTGGATGACCAACAACATATCACTCATGACGGTATAAATTCTTTGTCTTTGTGGCCTTTGTTAATTATTTTGATTCTGGAACTATCTATTTAATTTTGTTATTTCAGGGATGGATCCTATAGCACTTCCCATGCATCTCGGTTTGGTCATATGTTACGAGTTATACTGAAGATAAGTCGCGTGCTTGCACATATGACCTACTCTGAGGGAACCAGGAGATAGATTCGTTCGAGATTTATATTGACCGGTTGGTGCATGAAGACATTCACCATTAGCCATACTCAGTAGTTTATGTTGATGCATTTGTATTTTAGTTTTAGTTTTTTGGTATTTTATTATATCATATTTGTACTTGAATTACATTTTGGATTTGTGTACGACTCTATCACTGTGTGTGTATATATATATATATATAAGTGTGTGTGTGCGTGCGCGTGTGCGTGTGCGTGAGGTTTGTACAAGTTTTAATTTGTGATGAAAAAAATGAAAAATATATTTTCTTATAAATCTGGTTTTTCTGATTTTCCTTCTATTGACAACATCATAACTAAAAATATATTATCGATTTAAAATCAGAACTACACTTTCAATTATAAGTCAAATTTTTCAAAAGAAAAATATATACCAGAAATATATTTCTAATTTTAGAAAGACATTATAGAAATTATATAAGATTTAATTTTCCAACATACAATGGAGTGGTGTAAGAACAAAAATTAATTAGGTTAAGTTCAAATAGTAATGCCACAAAGTGATGATGAAGGGGGTGAATGTGAGAAGTCCTACCTATGCTAATATGTGTCCCTCTGTTCTTTTTATTAGGCAACAAATTAATTTCCAACAAATATTTTATGTGGGATAGGATCGCACTATCTATTCAAGTGATAAAGGAGGATCTATTGGAATTATTGGTGGCAAATTAACATATGTTTAATCTTCAATAGATATGTTCTTTTGGTATGTTTACACATAGGGTGATAGGGTGGCAATTAGTCGTGTTTAAGTATGATATTTATGTTTTGGGATACTATCTATGTGTGAACGTGAATGAGAAATCTTTAATTTTTATAGAAAAACGAGTAAGCGGGGAAATAACTAAAATAGTGGTAACAATGTGGTTGAATATATGATTGGTTAAGTGAGTCAAAATAGTAAAATATTTATGACATTCTACAACTATCCAAGCATAAGATTTATGACATTCTACAACTATCCAAGCATACTAGTGCATCGGGGAAATACTTAGGGTTTTAATATGAAGTAAAAAGATATTTTTATATCACATATATATGATATGATCAAAATCAACATAAACAAGAGACATGTTTTCAAAGTGAACATCTTTATACATTTTCATTATGTTTGGATGAAATGGTGTTCAAAATTCTGAACTTATGATCATAATATAAATTTGATCTGACCTGATCAGAAATGGACCGTCACGGTTGGCTCCGAGCAGAAAGCTTTTTTGAACGAGGTGGGGGGGTACCTGCAAGACACTCCGATGCTGAAGTAAGTAGGAGTACGAGCAGATAATAGCAAGTTGAGGTTAGAATGATGAATACCTAACCCTCTGGAAACAGAGAGTATTTATAGCCCCTAGCGCTGGGCCAAGGTTCCTTCATTGGGCCGGGCGGATTTGGCCCAATGGAGGAACTGGCAGGTTCTACGTGGGTAGTGGGGACCCGCACGTGGTCCCCTTCCTGGATGTTCTGCGTGAAGTGCGGGCGGACGGAGACGCGGTCTTTCCGGAGTATCGTTGGGGGAACGGTGGACTGAGTCTGCCCTAGCTGGGATGCTCGAGACAACGTCGAGCTGGACAGCAGGGTGTCGAGCTCGACGCCAGGACGTCGAGCTGGACAGCAGGGTGTCGTGCTGGACGTCAGGACGTGGAGTTGGACAGCGGGATGTCGAGCTGGACATCAGGATGTCGGGCACGGATGTGACCCATTTGCTCGGCGTGGTCCTCAGTAAGTCCCTTTGGACTGGGC